CCCCCCCCCCCCCCAAAAAAAAAAAAACAACAACAACAAAACAGGAAATAAATGAATAAGTTTTTCACTCTCATTCTCCGTGTACCGTAAACTGCCGTTTCTGAGCCCCCTCTACCACTTATAAGACCCCCTCTCCCCCTCCCAGTTTTAAGGCTCATTTACTTGTAAACCAAACAAAATTCATCCAACCTTCCCTTCCCGCGGATATCAGCCCCCATCTGCCATCTTGATCCGCCATTGTTGCCAATTTTCCACATATATTTCATTTTGAATAAAACCGGTATAAATCGATGTAATCATGATAAAAATGTGATCTGTGTATAAAAGGATCCTAAGAAACCAAAAAAATCCAGAAGTTATTTATTTCCGAGATAAATTCATACTCACTGCTGAAAATCAGTGAACCAACACATGCCATTTGGTCATTTTCAGTTCTTTTAGTTATTTTTTCTTTCTCAATTCATTTTTTAGTGAAAAGCCTGGATCACATTAACAGTTATAATAAATTTTATCTGAAAATAATGCTAAATTAAGGGTAATACAAAATCAATAAGTAAAAAAGGAAATAACACTTTTTTTACAGAAAAACAAAATGCAAAATTTGAAAAAGGTGGCTACGACAAAACTCGAATGCCTTGTACACCTCAAGGCGACTTTTAAAATGTTCCTACAAAAGTTCTAAGAAAAGTTGCTCACTATAGCGGTTATAGCTTATAAACATTTTTTTAGGTAATTCAATTTTTGAGTCAGAGGAGTGCCTTAATAGTAAGTCCCGCCGGGTAAATGGCTAAATATAGTCTTAAAAAGAAAACGGGATCGTTATTTTTAGAATTGAATTGCGCAATGCAAAAAAAAGTTTTAGCTTTCTGAAAAGAAACCAAGTAGCGTGACATATAAAATTAACCTCTTTGAGGAGAGATATTTTTGCTTAAATAAGGGTAATTTGATATTATTACAGTGCGGCACAACTTACTTAATCTGCTCTGTTAGTAAAGACATAAAAGCCTGAGCAAGGCTTCAAAAGAGAGTAAAAAAATCAATGAAGTGTTACTCAATAGTGACGTCCCCAATATTTGCATACCTATTTTGGTTCGGATAGGAAAATTATCGCTACGGAAACAAACAAAGCTAGCTTAGAATGTTTCTGTACAACCTGGATTTCCGCCATACATTTACTGTAATTTTACCCTCGGTAACTCGAACCCTCGATAGCTCGAACTGCCGCTAACTCGAACCAATTTTCGTTTCCCCTCAGGTCATTTTGTATACAATTTTACCTTCGAAAACTCGAACCATGTTTTGAGCGCTTAAAAAGTCGGGAAAAAAGTGTACTGGTGTCCGAAACATTGGATTTTAAAGTCCCATTGACGTGTTGCAGATATAGTTCACTAGTGGAAACTGATGTTGTTTTTCACAAATCTAACGTGAAACAGCTTTACTTCTCAAAACAGTAAAACGCAGGCTCTATTTCGACTATGTTTTGTTACGTTATATGTTGTGGTTTATAATCTGAAAGTATCTTTCAATTTTCACTTAACATTTCTACAATAAAATGTGATTAAAATGTTCACTGTAAAGTAAAAACTGTTTTTCACCTTACTTCCGGCTATTTTCTTCGAGCTCCCGATAACTCGAACTTTTTTCGATTTTTCTTGAAGGTTCGAGTTATCGGGAGTCAACTTAGTCTGCTAAACAGCCGTTTTTAGTGTCGTCACGCAACGCACCCCCCCCCCCCCCCCCACACGGGGGGGGACACTACTGTTTCTTTTTATTTTTTTTTTTTTTTTTATTAGTGTCGTCGTTGGGCGGGCCAAGGCTTTCATCCCAATCGGCTTTTTTTCGGGCCTAACCGCACCCCCTCCCCCCCCCCCCCCCACAAGGGGAGGAGCATTGCGTGACGACCTTAAAAACGGCTGTGTAGCAGACTAGAGTCAACGGTATCTCAGGAATTTAGAAATAAACTAACAAGGGAAGCTCATTTATGTTAAAGTATTCTTAGAAAGTGCTTATACGAAACTAATAAAAGAATTTAGAGCTGTGCTTTTGATTGCATTTCGATCGGCATTGCTGCTTGTGATGAATCATAAAAATTCTAAGTAAATAAGCGCTCAGTGTGAAAATGATAGACATGGCACGCCAGTCTGTCAGTTCGAGAAAATTAACCAATGAACGATAGCCAATGAGCCACTCCGAAGTAACGAACAAAACGAAACTGCTTACTCACGATACAACAGGAAGTAACTACGTAGATTCTTAGATATTATAGAAGCTAAAACTGAAGTAAAGCAACAGTTCGCCTACTTCTGAAGCTTCCCAATAGCAAACAAAGAATTACAAGTTTTGTCACCGATACAGTACAAATCTAACATGTCACTAAAGAAGCATGGCCGGCTTGGTGTTTTTTAAGTGTAGCAGGAAGCAATATCAAGCAAATCTTAATTACGCTATTGTCGATGTATACCTTATTACAGGAAATTAACGCTCCATGAAATTAAGGTATTGGAAATCAACGCGAATTTAATGGAAATCGACTTTCGAATAAAGAAAATTAACGCGAAAGAGGAGGTAGAATTTCATAATAGAGGAAATTAACGCGATTAAGACACAGTTGGTGGTGACAACTAGAATGGATGCAAAATTGGATGTAAATGGAAAGAAAGAAAGCTTGTGGTTAATGTTTTTTAGGTGTCAAGAATGTCTGGACAGGTTCCAAAATTGGGGTTAAAATACTGGAAATTAAGAGCGCGGAAATTAACGCTGCATTTAATTAACGTCGCGGAAATAATCTGTCAACAAAAAATTAACACGACTTAAATTACGGTAACTCGAATTTTAACGATTCGCGTAATTTCATGGAGCGTTCATTTCCTATAATAAGGTATGGTTGATAGTACAATCTAGTAGATTTACTTACAATAGAAGATTAATTAAATTTAATAAAAAATAATGGCAAGCTGGGAAGCTAAATTAACCAGTTGGTTTTCTTGTTAGCTCCCTGAAACGTATGTTTACGTGAAGTCTAGCCTGCGTAGCAAGCGTTTCCATTTGGTTTCGGAGCAAACAAAGACCGTGGAAAGGGATTTTCGGTTTTGATCGCGCGACAAATGAAACGAGAACTCGCTCTTTTACTTGCGCCAATTTTCGTCCGATCTTTGACTCTTGTTCCTCATTCTTTGCTCCTGAACCGCACAGAAACGCTTGCTACGCAGGCTACGTGAAGTCAAGCCAAAGCGCACAAAAAAGACCATTTATCAGGGGCACCCAACGAGAATAAAGTTCAAAACCACTTAAACATAGCATTGTTAAACTATTTTAGTATCTAAACGGTAGATAAAGGCATATTTTTATCCCCTAAAAATGTTTCATCTGTTCGGATTTCCTAGCTGAAAGTCTAGTGATCCGAAAATTATAGGGATCAAAACTTAGCTTTTCGAAAATTTCGGCCAGAAAAAAGGCTCCCGAAAATTCTAGGTGACCTTTTTAGGGTAAAAATCCGTTAAAAATGGGTAATTATTCCATTTTCTAGATATTCGAAAATCTTATGAGAAGCAGGCATTCAAGATATTTTACAACAAATGTTCCGAAAATTCTAGATCTTAAATCGTCTTCCGAACAGATATTTTCCGAAAATTGACGTTGGGTGCCCCTGATATATGGCTTGTGGATAGCTCGTAGCAGATACCACTGGCCTACCTGATACCAAACAGACGAGAAATAAGAGAAGTATCACCCGGAAATACAGCGCTAGATAACCCGACGCCATGTTAGTGTGTTTTCGCTTCGCCCTCTGAAAGTGATATCAGCTACTCGTGCATAGTGTTTCGCTTGGTTAACTTTTTCCTTTTGTTTCATTGTATCCGATTATCCGCCCCGCTGGAAAACAAGTTTCGTCAGCCCCTTAGGCACGCAGTTGATAAATAATCCGCGGAAAAAAACGTAGGCCTAAATGAAAACAAAGTAAGGATACGTAGCTTCAAGAGGGAATGATCTAAGAGAGCGAATCCCTGTGCCCCATGATAATTTTTTTAAATCTATTTAAAGTTCCCGCGCGTGCTGCGTAGGTTATTTTTGTCTGTTGTTTCCGTGACCCGCGTGGTCTACTGTCACGTGGACGTGACATGTTTCGCCGCCAAACATTTGAAGTTTGACAGCCATTATAGTAATTAGCGCCAGGAGCCGATCAATCGGCTCCTGATGTTGACATGTTTTTGATCAGCGCGTTCCGCTCATAATTTAAGATTGAATTTCATTTACAAAGGGATTGAAGTATTGGAGTCAACATTTCACTTTGAGATTAAAGATTGAGATTTTCTAACGGCTGATAGCCATTTAAAGTAACAAATGTTGAATTCTGACAAACCGTGAAAGCCAAAGGCAAAGGTTATCACCCGCGAAACACGAAACCTTTAATAGGTGAATGTCCAAGATTTATTCTCTTTTTCCAGGAATGTTTTTCGTGCAGAAACGTTACATTTGCTTTTAAGAATTATTCTCGAGAGTTTCAAACTGCATTACTTCTTCTTAACGTCTAATACTTGCGATGACTATTTCGTCCAGCGAACACAAATCAGGTCACAGGCGGCCCAAACTCATTACATGAACGCGGACGTGACTCTTGCTTGCGAGCGGTGTTGTGTTACAAACGGTTATTTACAAAGGCTTGTATGGGATCGATCGGTTTGTCTTAAAAGAAATAAAAAATGTTATGTTTTAAAATAAGATCGACGTACCTTATTGCCGTTTTGAAGCGTTTTCGGCGAGTTAGCACTATTTTGGTGTTCTACTGCACCACTTCCACTCTGGGAAGGGGGTAGTATTATATAGACTTTACTCTTCTTTGTTGTTTTGTTTGTTGGCTTTGTTTTATGTCTGTCATTTTTAATCTGGGTGGGGGGCTTAGATTGGTCGCTCTTTTTGACTCATGGCCGTCACGTTTCACTTGCAAGTTGAAGAAAATAGCAAGAGTGGATGTTATGAATTAACAAAAAT